GTTGTGTTGTAACCAACAACCACCCTCCAAATAAAAACCTAACACACACAGTCAGACAGACAGAGACAGTCAGGCAGAAAGAGACAGACATAGACAGTTAAACTGACAGACAGAGAGACAGACAAGAAAGTCAGAGATTGACAAGACACAAACAGACAGAGTGAGACAGACAGACAGACAGACACACACACACACACACACACACACACAACAGACAGACAGACAGACACACTGACAAAGACTGAGAAGACAGTCAGAGACAGACAGACACAAAACAGACAGAAAGACAGATAGACAGAGAGCCAGATATACAGACAGAACAGACAGGCAGAGACCAACATTGTGAGAAAGACAGAGAAGCTGAGACAAATTGACAGACCGAGACAAACACAGACAGACAGAGACTAGAAAGTCAGGTAGACAAACAAAGAGACACACACAGACAGACAGAGACCAACAGACAGATAAACAAGACAGACAGACAGAGTGACAGACAAACTTCTAGGTGTATGTTCCGTTTGCATGCTGTCCCTGTCTGTCTGCTGTGCCTATATGATCTTTCTACTTATCTCTCTCTCTCTCTCTTTGCCTGTCTGTCTGTCTGTGTCTGTCCGTCTGACTCTCGGTTTCGTTTTGTCTGTCTTTTCACAATGTCTGTCCTTCTGTCTCTCTGATTGTTTGTTTGTCAGTCTCTCACTGTCTCTGTTTGTCCGGCTCTGTCTGTCTCCATCTGTCTATCACTGTCTCTTGTATGTCTCTGTCATTCTGTCTGTCTGTCTATTTGTCTGTCTTTTTGTCTGTCTGTCTGTCTGTCTGTCTGTCTGTGTCTGTATTTTTCACTCTGTCTGTTTGTCTGTCTATCCTCTGTCTGTCTCCGTCTATCTGCTTGTGTCTAATCTGTCTGTCTGTCCGTGTTTTCACTTTTTGGTCTGTCTGACTGTTTGTCTCTGCATTTTTCTGTGTCTGTCTGCTTCTGCCTCTCTTTCTTTCTATCTATCTGTCTGTCTGTTTGTCTGTCCGTCTATCTCAGCATATCTGTCTGTCTGTCAGGCTCTGCCTATTTGTGTCTGTCTGTCAGCATTTCTCATTCTGTCTGTCTGCCTTTTCACTACACTAAACTATCATACACCACACTACCTTACCCTACACTACCCTACACCACACTACCTTACCCTACACTACTCTACACCACACCTCACTGACTACACCACACCACACTACACTACCTCTACACCACACCACACTCACACTACCCTACACCACACCACACTACACTACTCTACACCACACAACACTACACTACTCTACACTACACCTCACTACACTACTCCTACACCACACCACACTACACTATCCTACACCCACACCACACTACACTACACTATCCTACACCACACTACCTACCCTACACTACACTACCTTGCCCTACACTACTCTGCACCACACCACACTACCTTGCCCTACACTTTCTCTACACCACACCACACACACTACCCTACACCACACACCACACCACACTACACTATCCTACACCACACTACCGCCCTACACTGAGACAAATTGACAGACCGAGACAAACACAGACAGACAGAGACTGACAGTCAGGTAGACAAACAAAGAGACACACACACAGACAGACAGAGACCCAGACAGAATAAAGACAGACAGACAGAAAGTGACAGACAAACTCTGGGTGTATGTCTCCGTTTGCATGCTTGTCCCTGTCTGTCTGCTGTGCCTATATGATCTTTCTACTTATCTCTCTCTCTCTCTCTCTCTCTTTCTCTCTTTCTCTCTTTGCCTGTCTGTCTGTCTGTGTCTGTCCGTCTGTCTTCTGATTGCTCTTGCCTGTTTGCCTCTCACTGTCTCTGTTTGTCCGGCAATCTCTCTGTCTGTCTCCATCTGTCTATCACTGTCTCTGTGTATGTCTCTGTCATTCTGTCTGTCATCTATTTTTTGTCTCTTTTGTCTGTCTGTCTGTCTGTCTGTCTGTGTCTGTATTTTCACTCTGTCTGTTTGTCTGTCTATCCTCTGTCTGTCTCCGTCTATCTGCTTGTGTCTATCTGTCTGTCATTCCGTGTTTCTCACTTTTTTGTCTGTCTGACTGTTTGTCTCTGCATTTTTTCTGTGTGTCTGTCTGCTCTCTGTCTCTTTTCTCTTTCTATCTATCTGTCTGTCTGTTTGTCTGTCCGTCTATCTCAGCATATCTGTCTGTCTGTCTGGCCCTGCCTATTTGTGTCTGTCTGTCAGCATTTCTCATTCTGTCTGTCTGCCTTTTCACTACACTAAACTATCATACACCACACTACCTTACCCTACACTCACCCCACACCACACCACACCACACTACCCTACACCACACCACACCACACCACTCCCACACCACACCACACCACACCACTCTCACACCACACCACACCACACTACCCCACACCACACCACACCACACCACCCCCACACCACACCACACCACACTACCCCACACCACACCACACCACACCACCTCTACACCACACCACACCACACTACCCTACACCACACTACCTTACCCTACACTACTCTACACCACACCTCACTACACTACTCTACACCACACCACACTACACTACCCTACACCACACCACACTACCCTACACCACACCACACTACACTACTCTACACCACACCACACTACACTCACTCTACACCACACACCACACTACACTACCTTAGACCACACCATTAATTACACTACTCCTACACCACACCTCACTACACTACTCTACACCACACCACACTACACTACTCTACACCACACCACACTACCTTACCCTACACTACTCTACACCACACCACACTACACAACTCTACATCACACCACACTACCTTACCCTACACTACTCTACACCACACTACACTACTCTACACCACACCACACTGCACTATCCTACACCACAACACTACCTTACCCTACACCACACTACACTACACTACCCTACACCACACCACACTACCTTACCCTACACTACTTTACACCACACCATCCCACACCACACCACCTTACCCTACACCAATTACCCCACACCACACCACCTTGCCCCACACTACTCTACACCACACCATTAATTACCTTGCCCTACACTTTCTACACCACACCACACTACACTACTCCCTACACCACACACCACACTCACACTCTCACACTATCCTAAGGACCACACCACTCTTACCCTACACTACTCCCCACACCACACTACCTTGCCCTACACCACACACCACACCACACTACCTTGCCCCCACACTACTTCTACACCACACCACACCACACCACTTCTACACCACACCACACCACACCACTCTATACCACCCCACACTACCCTACACCACACCACACTACACTACGCTATCCTACACCACACTACCTTGCCCTACACTACTCTACACCACACCACAATACTCTACACCACACCACACTACACTACTCTACACCACACCACACTACACTACTCTACACCACACCACACTACACTACCCTACACCACAACACACTGCACTACCCGACACCCCGTTGTGGGTCGTTTGACCTGTGCCCGGGTGGGCTAATTCCCGTAGAAAATAAAAATAATAAATAAAATAAAATAAAACAAGCTCTTTCATACCCGAGTGATCAGTTTAAGTGAGCTGGGCCCAGCCTCGAACTGGTCCCGGCGGTGCTAGACGGTGGTACGTAGCTCGTCATGCTACCGCCCGGGGGTCTACCTTTTTCTTTTTGGGGGGGTGGGGGACACTCCCCTACATCCTTGTGTAAGGTGAAGCGCAGAAGCGTTTACAGTGCCCAACAGGGAAGCATGCTAAGTTCATGCTTGCCTTTATGTCTCATGTGTTAAGGGCATAGAAGCCTGAAGAGTCAACGACATAGAACCCTGAAGAGTCAATGGTTTATGTCAATGGTTTACGTAGTTTTTCTTAGGATTTATATGAATTTATACTCAAATAGCAGTTACAATTGTACTGACGCTGTGAATGGCCCTTATATTTTATCTATTTTTTTTACCAGTCTATATTTTTATGATTCGTATATAAATTTTATAGATCACCAGAAATAAAAGAATTATTTCAGACTTAATTGAGTGAGATTATACACTCAAAGAAGACTGTCTCAGGACTAGAGGGACATGTCTTTCATTTGAATCTTCTCTTTGACAAGTCCTTCTGCTGCCCAAGTTACATGATTATCGTCAAAAAAAATTCACAAGGAAACAGTAAATAAGATCTATTATGCTGTATTGATTTATTTGTAGACACTGTGGGATGTACTGTTTAATTCTACAAGGTATCAAGATTATGTACTGTAAACTTCATCTCCTGGGGACATAACCTGGCTCACACCTGACTAATTAGAAGATTTTAAATGTTATGGAAGGGAAACTAAACTGACCTGAACTAACCTTACCTGACCAAACCTTACCTGACCAAACCTTGCCTCACCTAACCTTACCTGACCAAACCTTACCTGACCAAACCTTACCTGACCAAACCTTGCCTCACTTAACCTTACCTGACCTAACCGTATCTGACCAAACCTTACCTGACCGAACCTTACCTGACCAACCCTTACCTGACCTAACCTTGTTGATAATATAAATATGGCTATTATACTCTACTGCTGTTTTGGTATAATAAATTAGGTTGTTATTTACACGTATTTATAAAGTTTTAGCAGGAATGACACACATACACGTTAACACATTCCTCATGATATGTGGAATGATCATTTTATTGTAGAAAAATTGTGTGTGTTATCTCATTAGTACTATAAGGTTCAATTCAATTTCAATTTCAATTGTTTATTCCTTGATAGAGGAAGCGGGATCCTAGTGCTGTCACTAGGGGCTAGGTACCCCTGTACAATGACACCAGAAGCATCTGGTAAGTGTGACAAGTATATACAGTATAAATATTATAAAGGGGCTTACTGAAGCCTAAGGAAGGAAGAATATTCCTTTAACACATAATCAATGTTATTTACAAAATATCTGGCCAGTATGGGGAGGATCATTGTGTCTCCGTCAGGGGGTCGTGGAGTGGTGGTCCAGCGGGCGTCACGGAAGCTACTATAATGTTTTAGAATATTTGTACAAGTGACATGCCAGAAAAACAGAGCCTCTACAGTCGTGGTGATTAAATGATTATGAATGTAGATATTAAGGTGATGGATATTCTTATGAACAGTGAATATTAAATAATTTTCAAGTTTGATAATTATAATAATTGAAAATGTAAATGACTTGATATTTTTTTACGTTTTGAAAGTAGTAATGGAGAGAATGAACGCATCCAGTGGACCGTGATGTAAACGTTAGCTACTTAAATTACTCATCTGTAGTGAAATATACTTCGAAGAATTCTTAATATAAAAAAATAATAAGGCAGACAGGAGCTCTTTCCCCTTAACTGCAACCAAGGTTTTTTGTTGTATAAAGTTTGACGCTGACAAAGAAAAGAATTATCATCCAACACACATAGGTATTGTAAGTGTTAGAACGTCAGGTTTTACAGAGATTTCAAGAATAATCAGTCTCTGGGATTTTTTGTTTTGTCAGGAAGAGTAAATGTGCTTGAGTGCGTCCTGTGGTGTGAACATAAGACCAAAGAACAGAGAGTACATGAATCTGACTAAACGTAGCGACAAAAGGTGTCAAGTATTCACTATGTTCCTTCACAATTACCCTGAGTTACGATCCCTAATGTGAGGTCATGATTATAGGACTCGTTTTTTTCACTTGTTCGTTTCCTCTTGGACCTCATTGTGGCGAAGGGCTTCACCACCTTTAGCGTCAAACACTTGTACGGAGGCGCTTGGATTCTTAACGTCGAGAGTGTCCGAATCCTGATATTTTGTTGTTTTTCAGGAAGTGGCGAGTGAGATTGGCTCTTTGTGTCCGAAAATACGCTGCAGGAGTATTTAATAAAACTTGGAGAATTGTCCAGGAGTGCGATCAAGGAGTAACTTGGGCAGCGCGGGAGTAAGCTGTGTGTCAACCTTGAGTGAGTTACAGCTTGAGGTGAGAGAAGTTACTCAAAGGAGAGCTAGTGAGCTTATCTTCACTCTGTTTATATATATCTGTTGCCACTGTTCCCGTTGTCTGCCGTTGATGTCTTTTCTGTGAACACAATTTTAGTTAATTTAACTTGTATATTTAAACCACAAACATAGACATACTTGAACACAGACACACACACACACACACACACACACACACACACACACACACACACACACACACACACACACACACACACACACAGACTTACTTTGAAAGCATTTCACTATAGAATTCACCATTAATTAATAATCAGATAGATCTCAACCATGAGTATTTCAAATGGTTGTTAATTATTAATATTTATTGCCTCTTGATCGCGTTAACACTAGTCAGACAAAACACTGCCTTATGATACGGGAAGCACCAACCTTTATCGTCAGTTGTCGGGTCATTCCAAGGCTGAACATCTACTGACATGAAAAACATATAGAAGGTCGCAGTGCACATGTTCAATCCAGCTGCAACAAGGAACACTATACTCCACCTACCAAATGTTTGCTGAGGGTGAAAAAGTTTAGCATATTTTAAGATCGTTATTGTATTAAAGAAGCGTTGCGAATAATTAAACAATCATCTATATACTGAACTTTATTTTTTTACCTTTATCCTCTTCACCACTGATCGGCTCGTTAACCGCTCGGGCGATCAGTCACGTCTCTGTTACGCACTGTTGGCAAGTACCGAGCATGCACCGGCTCCTGAATGTATCTGAACCTCCTCCAGTGTTGGTCAAGTCTGCTCTTGAAAGAGCTCATACTCGGTGCCCTCACAACACTCTCTGGCAAATTGTTCCAAGAGTTCACAATCCTCACTCCGAAAAAGTTGCCCCTCACAGTTTTCTGGACTTGCGGCTTCTTCAACCTTGATCTGTGACCCCTTGTGGGGCGAGCGTCCACCAGCTCCAGGTAAGGGCACTCAACTGAGTAGTGCCCTATGAGATGTTTATACACCTCAATTAGGTCGCCCCTTGCCCGTCTGTAGTATAAGCTAGGCAATTGCAGGCACTCTAATCTCTCTGGGTAGCTGAGGTGCCATAGTGCAGGCACCAGTCTGGTGGCCCTCCTTTGGACATTTTCAACCAACTGACATTCCGTAGCATATCTCGGGGACCAGACGGGGTGACAGTACTCCAGACGGGGAAGCACTTCATTCTTGAGGATCGTTATGAGGGACGGACCTATCTGAACGACCTTCTTATAAGACTTAATAATTTAGTTTCCTGTTTTACCTTCTTCTGACAATGGCCCGGAAACTTCAGCTCATTGTCAACGCACACACCCAGGTCCTTCTCACATTCAATCTTAATTAAAGCAGTTTCTTCGTCCCGTTGGGATATGTGATACGCCTCCTTACCGTTGGTACGTCCGAGGTGCATCCTCTTACACTTCAAGACATTAAATCTCAGCAGTCATTTCTTCGACCATTCTTGGAGCTCACAGAGATCTTTCTGCAGCTCTTCATAGTCTGCTTGGTTCCTAATTTCCCGAAATAACTTGGTCATCCGCAAACATTTGTATGGAGGAGTGTACAGCTTCAGGCATGTCATTTAGGAAGCAAACAAACAACAGCGGGCCCATTTACTGCCCTGTGGTACCCCGATTGTGACGGGTACACGTGATGATTTATGCTATTAATCACCACACACTGCTTGCAGTCATGGAGAAAGTCTCCGATCCACGCTGGGACATTTCCCCGAATCCCGTACCCTTCCAGTTTAATTTTCAGCCTTTCATGGGGTATGCTTTCGTAAACCTTGGCAAAATCGTGGTATATAGTGTCGACATTACCACCCTGTTCCGGAATTTGGGTCCAAACATCCAGTACTTTGAGCAATTGTGCTACGCAGGAGCGCCCTGGCATAAAACTGTGTTGGCAATCCCTTACAAAGTTGTTTCGTAGTAGATGTTCCATCATGGCATCTCTTATAATGCTCTTAAATACTTTACTTACTATGCTGGTTAGGCACACCGGTCTATAGTTGTTCGTGGAGTGACGATCGCCCTTCTTGAAGAGAGGACTCACATAAGCCATTTTCCAATCACTGGGGACCTTTTGTTCATCCAGTCATTTACTGAACAGGATCTTCAGGGGCTCAGCTAGCTCATTGCACAACTCTCTTAGCACTCTGGGATGCACCATGTCAGGGCCGGGACTCTTATGGACCTTTAGCTCTGACAATTTATTTCTTATAACCTCTTCTGTGATCTCAATGTTGGTCAGTGCTGTGTCGAAACGTCTGTCCTCAAATGCAGGAAGATTGTTCGCATCCTCTCTTGTGAACACCGAGGAAAAGAAGCTGTTCAATGCCTCAGCTTTATCCTGGTCAGAATCTGCGTAACTACCATCTTCAAGGCTCAGGTACGATACTCCTACTCGCGTTTTGAATTTCGACTTTAAAGTCCACAGCCATGATTAGTTAGCATGACTTTTAGGCTATGGAAATATTCTTTTCCTTTCATTTCAAACACCAATAAGGGCCCCCTGGTTATTACACCCTGTATATACCCATATTTTTTTGTCAAAGTTATATTTCGTCTTGTATATATATAAAGAAACAACTATTAAATATATCAATCACTTCCTGTAGGCATTATACAACACAGATTGACTTACATTATCGTTGATGATGGCACCGGTGAAAACCGGGGCAAGGAACCCAATGATGCCAGAGATGGTAGTACTGATCCCCACAAGAGTGCCAGCCAGGTTAGGAGCGATTTCCATTGCAAGAAGGAACGCCCCGCTGTACATTGCCCCAGTGAGGCCGAGAGCCACACACATGGTGATAATAGCTAAGGTTGAGTTACACCTCACGAAACACATGGCGAGCAGTGCCAGGGAAAAGCCGTAACAACCTGGAAAATATGACATGTAGTATAGTTTGGTATGTGTGTGTGTGTGTCATTTCAAAAACACCGAATGTGGTACAGTACAAGACTTCTGAACTAATGGATTCAAAGGATAATTTTTTAGCGTTAATTAATCTGGGAGGTTAACACTAATAGACAGACAGACTTTACATTAAAATTTTCATTCCCGTCTCTCGCACATCTTTGTTTAAAGGTGAGACAGTACCCATTGTAAGACCATTCCCATGACGCTCATATGAAGTGTCTGTTAAGTTGTTTTGGACATACATACATATATACATACATACATACATACATACATACATACATACATACATAAAGTTACTATATGTCTTATTTGTGTCACTTATGTCACTTGTATATTATTTGTAATTCGTAACCCATTCCCCAAATATGTAACTGTATATTTTCAGCCTTCTGGCTGCCAAGCTCTTTCAATAAACCGTTAATTATTATTATTATTATTATTACATACATACATACATACATACATACATACATATATACATACATGTTTTTTTGTGTTCACCTGTTTCTGTGTTTTTCAATATATATAATGTTATTCAAATTTTTCAGTGTTATGTGTTGTGTTGATGCTCACCTACGGCGCTGGACACTCTCCTCACAGTGGTCACAGACAACACTCGTCTCTCCGTCAGGGTGTCCATAAGGGAGCCCCACGTCATGGCAAAGATCCACGACACCAGATATGGTAACCCAGACATGATACCGTTCTGGGGGGTAGAGATAAATTATTGAACAACTTGGTTTATTTTATGGATAAATTATTGGTTTTTGTCAAGGTAGTTTAAAAGTATTGGGAACACCTGACAGAGCTAGAGGAATAAAGACTTCAACTGACGTTGTTTAAATCGAAATGCTGCATGTTGCTAAGGTAAGTCGGCAGCTCCGTCAGTACGATGAAGAACCCGAAGCTGGAGCCAACTGCAAACATCATCCCAGCCCACATTGGTCCTGATGTCCAAATGGCCTTCCATGGGATGTTCTTTATCTGAAGGGAAAAAGGGCTATATTAATTTAGTACACAATAGTGAGTCATTCAGTGAAAAATATATGAAAGATGTAGTGTTATTTATTTAATGTGTTAGCGATCCTGGGCCATGGTTTTGCAGAGAGAGAACTGAAATTTGTCATGGACCCCAGAACTCACACTCCCCACATGCCTGTCTTCATTCCCTCAGTAGTTAAGTTGTGCTGTTGTATGCAGTGACCTGGAGAGTCTTCACGTCAGATGAGTTTCATTTTTTTGTTCATCACGTGAAAATCGTCTCAAGTTGAACCATTAAACCACCGCCCACTCTACTAAGATGTCCTCAGTCTTACCCTAGTTGTTGTGACTGAGCTTAGACTTGACTGGATATACGTGAGTTCGGCTGGGGTGATCCTTGGGTGTGTGTGAGGTGAGTCGTGCACCAGCAGGAACCAGGTAATACACCACACCAATCCCAGAACACCGAACACGTAGAAGGCGGAGGGCCACCCACTCCCACACCCACACAGCCAACCACTCATCGCCAGCGTCACCATCGTTCCCGCCTCCGACCCTGTGTGTTACAATCATTACAGGACTCTTGCTGCTTACACCCTTGTCCAATACACACACACCAAATTCTTTAGAACTACGCTGATGAGATCACTTGTGGCACCATAGATGATGCCATGTTAACGGATGTATATTATACTAGAGAGAGCTATATAGTTAATATATGTGGAATTAATTAACATTTATGGTAATACTGACATCAACATTCACTTGGTTTTCCTCCAACCTCCGTACATTACCGTTGTTTCCCTCGTAAAACACACCGTGAGCTCAGTAACTTCAAAACTTCAGTTAAAGAATATCAAATACAAGTAGTGGAAGAGCTTACCTGAGTATACAATGGAGGCGAGTTTGGCTCTCTCTTCAGGGGGTATCCAGGTAGCCAGGAGGAGACCGACGACAGGGAAGCTGGCGCCCTGCAACACCAACAACACGCTTGGGTTATGTTTTGGTGTTTGTGTGACGCCGCCTTTAGCGATATCTAATCTTTGCTTATATGATAAAGGCAGTAATTTTTTTCTTTATATATAATGAACTCAAGTAACCCAACCTTCAAGCCATAGTTGGTTTAATTCAGAGTTGATAACTTATCACACCATAATGTTTCAAGGACTGTGATCAAATGACAGTCTCTGGAGATAAGTTTTATCGTGAGTGAACTATATTATAAAACTACTACTGTCACTTCATATGAAACCGTGTATAATCTCACACACAAACACTCAACAATACATAATTATCTCTGTGACTTACCTGACAAGCACCTTCTAAAATCCTGACAAAGATGAAGAGCTCCTTACAGACGTAGGCACAGAGGGGGCTAATGACGGTGGCCAGGGAGGAGAGCCCGGTGCTGAGGCCCAACACCAGGCGGCCCCCCATGTGCTCCGCCACCCGTCCGCCCACAAAGTTAGTAGTGGCGTAACCCCAGTAGAAGGCTCCCAACACCAGCCCCTGAGTTTGTTCATCCCAGCTGAACTTTCCTTGCTGAGTGTAAACATAGCACGAGGAAATATAACTCGTAATATCTTGTGATAAATCATTCTACAGAGAGTCTGTTTCAACATCAAGATTTCGTATTTATGATGAAGTTAATTGTAAGTATTCATGTCACTTCTAAGAGTAAAGTAAGCTTCAACGTGCCAATATTAGTATTAAATATATTAAATAACTCGAAATCTCACGCCTTCCTTCATTATCTCCAACACTTTCTTGTATGGAATTAAATAATAGAAAAAAAATACTTCTTTCTAGTCAGGAATTACACAATTAGTCCATGAACTAACTACCGCTTATCAAATTGCCACATCACACACAACTATTACCTGTCACGCTGCATTATCTATGTATCCTGTCTTTATCATCTTGTCTTCCCTCCGGTAATAACCAAATTAGTCTCTTGTGAACTATATTTGTGGAATCTATAAATAATCTTCACAAAATTTTGTGTCAACAAGTAAAAACTGAAACTGTACTCCCGGAATAAAACTATTTTCACTTCCAGCATTTTTACGGTCACACACACACACATACCCACCTCGCGCAGTCCGCCACTACAACAAAATTCAGCCCATAAGAGCCCGCACCGATAGATATAAGAACAGCACCATCCCATTTATTGTTAAAATAATAAACAACTCCTGATTTATGTACTGTACAGCCCTGTAAATGTATTCAATGCATATTATATCATTATGTCTAAATCAAATGTAAGTCTGTATATTTTCAGCCACCGGCTGCAACTCTCTTAATAAACCGTTTATTATTATTATTATTATTATTACACACACACACACAAAATCAAGGATGTCTTCAAATTCTTTTATCACTGACATTTTGGTTCACCACTGGCGTACAACATGGCTCAGAGGGACGACACTCACCAGGTCATCGTCGTCGTCGTCACTGGAGCCGTTATCTGTGTCGTTTGACGAGGGGCAGGTGTCGAGAGTGTCGTTGTAGGAGGTCGTTCCCACCATCGCTACGATGGCTATGGACAAGTTCACTCGCATAGAAAATTGTAACGCCAGGCATAGTGACAGCATCATCGTCAAGGTGTGGCGCGCTCCCCAACACTCAGTGACTGCAACACAGACACACCAGAGGCACTATACTGTACACTCCGATTCTATAACTCTAGAGAAACAATTATTCAATTCAGGTTTTGTGAATTTTGGACACAGAAAATATTGTTTCGTCCCAAATAACTAACAGTATATTATAACTTATTCTTGCCCCCTTTTTTGTGCCCAACATGATGGATAATTACATATAGACGTCTTTTTCACGTCACTTACCTTCTCTTAGATTAGGTTTATCATGTTGTACCTCCTCCCGGGAAGGTTTTCTGCTTCCCCCGTCATCTTCCCACCCAGCAGCTGAGTGACTGATGGTAAACACAGGCTTAGGTGTCACTGGGGTGTTGTGGACGTGTGTGTAGCCGGATAGTGTGTCCTGTGCACTGTGAGCCTCCTGGATGGTGCCCAGGACAGAACCTCCTCTGAACTCCATTGCCTGAGTACTGACGTCCACCGAGACATGCATTGATAGCAAGATATGGTAGATTATAAGGAGAAAAAAACACATCGAAGTTGGACGACCAAAGAGAAACATTATGTAGGGAGTAAACACCATTTAAGAAGACGACATCAAAGTAATAGGAGTTAAGCCAGGTACTCCATGCAGTTAATAGGGATCTAGTATTATAGTGACGACCTGAACACACACACACACTCACACACACACACACACACACACACACACACACACACACACACACACACACACACACACACACACCATCCATTATCTATCTATCTGAGTGTCAATGCCGGAGAAAATTACAGTTTCAAATGGACAGAGAATAGTTGGAACAAATACTTCACTGTGTTTTGTGTGCCAGAGTCGTGAACCTTCTGATAACCTCGCCATAACCATCCCACTCTTGTTATCTTTTACCACTTCTTACTGCATGTTGCTCCCAAATACACAAACTTATTTACAGTTTCCATGTCACCATTTGCTAGGCTAAAGCATTATAAGGGTTGAGAAATATGTTAAATACAAAATTCTCACATCTACTGTCAATATCTTTCATTTGTTTTAATGGAGTCGAAATAATAAAGTAATTTGGAATATCTAAGTAAAAGATAAGACACCGAATGTTTCAGTTGAAGATGACTCAACGCTTTTAAGGAGTGGTGAGAGTTATGTTAATATGTGATAGTAAATAAACTGATAACCCGGCTTGACAGTAAGTAACAAGGACAACTTCTAGCTTCTACTATAATAACCACAACTAAAACAACAACTACAGTAACTAACAACAACTACAACAACAACACTGTCAGATATTATCCTCGTGAATTATTTTAATATGGGGGAAACATTTTATCTCTAAACCTTAAATCTTTTAACGCTATCAACTTTCATCACTTAATGTTTCATTTAAAGAGAATTCTTGTGTGTAAACACTGGGAACTCTATAGGAAACATCTGGCTAAGTGGTGCTCCAAATCACAGCCGGCTGGTGCAGCACCCGTGGACGAGACAACCCTCCACCAACAGTTGGTCGAGGCGTTTCACCAAGCGGCAGAAGAGGCTATTCCAAAAACAAAACCCACATCAACACAGTACAAGGATTACTGGTACTACTGTCCCAGGGTGAAAGAACTCAACCAGAGAGTGAACATGGCCCGAAGAAACTACAGATGACATCCCACGGACACAAACAGACATCTCCTGCAAGACATAGTCAAGGATACCAGGGAAGAGAAGGAAGAGGTCAAAAGCGTGAGCTGGCTCAAGTGGTGCTCCGAACTGAACGAGCACATCTCCCTCGGCAAAATGTGGTCCCAGATCCAAAGGGCATCTGGGAAGACAACACCACCACCACCACCAATCCAGCAGCAACGAAAAACCTCCCGAGACATGTGGAGGAGACACAACGGCGTCTGCGACAGAGCAGACTCCAGATGATCGAAGAGGCCTGCAATAGTGTAGATGACATCGATAGACCCTTCAACCAGCAAGAACTCCAGAAGTCGATAAAACGAAGCAAGGACACAGCACCAGGGGCCGACAGGATAACCTACTCCATGCTTTCCCATGCCGGAGAAGCTGGGCACGAGGCCCTCAGGGGCCCTCCCACAAGCGCCGGCGCTTCCAGGCACCTTGCCAGAAGCAGTGGCGCTCCCAGGGGTTCTCCCAGCGAAAGCAGTGCTCCAAGGGGACTTGGCAGGGACAGCGGCGCCCCCAGGGGCCCTTGAGGCACAGCGGCACTCCCAGGGACCCTCTCAGGGACGGAAGCGCCTCCATGGGCCCTGCCAGAGGCGTTGGCGCCTGCAGGTTCCCTGCCAGGGGCGCTGGCACCCCTAAGGGCCCTGCTAGGGGCACTGGCACCCCAGGGGCTCTCTGAGGGTCATCAGCACTCACAAAAGCCCTCCCAAAGACAGCGGTGCTCCCAGGAACCCTGCCAGAGACGGCAGCGCTCACCGGGGCTCTCCGTGGTACAGCAGCACTCCCAGAGACCTTCTCAGGAGTGGTGGCGTCCACTGGGGCCATGTCATGGAGAGCGGACCTCCCAGGGACCGTCCCAGGGGAAGCGCCGACCCCAGGAATCGTAACAAGGGTCCCCAGGAGCCCTATGGTAAGCTTGTCCATAGTGTCATATATATATTACAGTCCCTTACTTAACTGTGATTGGTGAACTATTCTTTAACCCACGAAATTACAGCCAATAGGAGTAGAGAGCAGTCAGTCAGCACAACACCTCGACTTATGTTTTCCTGTTGATATAATTCTCCATTACCTTCTTCAGAATGCGATGATACTGGAAATGTGATGGGCGGCGGCGTATTTATTTAAAGTTGCTTCTCCCAGAGCTCTAAATAGTGCAAAACTACTGCAACCACGGCCCTCCCAGGGACATGAGCGCTTGTAGGGATCCTCCCAGGGACAGGAGTTCTCCCAGGGCCCGTGCCATGGGCGGTGGCACCCCTACAGGCTCATCCAGGGACATTGGCAGACTCAGGGGCTCTCCCAGGAACAGCAGCGCCCGCAGGGACCGTGCCAAAGGCGGTAGCGCAAGCCAGGACGCTCCCAGGGACAGGGACGCTCCCAAGGGCCCTCCCAGAGATGGCGGTGCCCCCATTGACTCTCCCAGTGACAGCAGCGCCCCAGGGACCCTCCCATGGACGACGGCGCACCCAGGGGCCCTGCAACAGGCGGTGGTGCCCCCAGGGACCTTGCCAGAGGCAGTGGCGTCCTTAAGGCCCTTGCCAGAGGCAGTGGCGGCTTCAGGGGCCTTGCCAGTGGTGCTGGCGCCCCCAGGTTCTCTCCCTGGGACAGTGGCCTTCCAAGGGGTCCTCCCAGAAACGGCAGCCCTCCCAGGGGCTCTGCCAGCGACAGCGGCGCTCACATGGGCTCTCCCAAGGACATTGGTGCTCCCAGGGCCTTGCCAGGGACGGTGGCGAACCCAGGGGCCCTCCCAGGGACAGCGACGCACCCAGGGGCCCTCTCCGGGATGGTAGCCAGGGACAGCAGAGCTCCCAGGGCTGGCGCCGACCCCAGGAACCGTACCAAGGGTCCCGGTGGGCCCTACGACATGCTTAACCGTCGTGTCATACACTGTATATTATATACCTCAAGCAGTCCCTTACTTAACTGTGATTGGTGGACTATTCTTTAACCCACCAAACTACAGCCAATAGGAGCAGAGAGCAGTCAGTCAGCACAACACCTCAACTTATGTTTTCCTGTTGATATTATTCTCCATTACCTTCTTCAGAATGTGATGATACTGGAAATGTGATGGGTGGCGGTGTGTTTATTTAACGTTGCTTCTCCCAGAGCTCTAAATAGAGCAAAAACTATTGCAACCAGGGGCATTCCCAGAGACGGGAGCGCTTGCAGGGACACTCCCAGGGACTTTTGCACCCTGGGGACTCTTCCAGTAACAGCGGCGTCCCAGGGGCCCTCCCATGTACGACGGCACACCCAGGGGCCCTGCAACAGGCGGTGGTGCCCCCAGGGACCTTGCCAGAGGCAGTGGCGTCCTCAAGGGCCTTGCCAGAGGCAGTGGCGCCTTCAGGGGCCTTGCCAGTGGTGCTGGCGCCCATAAGTTCTCTCCCTGGGACAGTGGCCTTCCAAGGGGTCCTCCCAGAAACGGCAGCACTCCTAGGGGCTTGGCCAAGGGCAGTGGCGTGTTCCCAGGGGCCCTGCCAGCGACAGCGGCGCTCACATAGGCTCTCCCAAGGACACTGGTGCTCCCAGGGTCTTCCCAGGGACGGTGGAGAACCCAGGGCCCTCCCAGGGACAGCGTTGCACCCAGGGGCCCTCTCCGGGATGGTAGCCAGGGAGAGCAGAGCTCCCAGGGCTGGCGCCGACCCCAGGGACCGTACCAAGGGTCCCGGTGGGCCCTACGACATGCTTAACCGTCGTGTCATACACTGTATATTATATACCTCAAGCAGTCCCTTACTTAACTGTGATTGGTGGACTATTCTTTAACCCACCAAATTACAGCCAATAGGAGCAGAGAGCAGTCATTCAGCACAACACCTCAACTTATGTTTTCCTGTTGATATTATTCTCCATTGCCTTCTCCAGAATGCGATGATACTGGAAATGTGATGAGCGGCGGTGTATTTGGTTAACGTTGCTTCTCCCAGAGCTCTAAATAGAGCAAAAACTACTGCAACCAGGGGCCTTTCCAGAGACGGGAGCGCTTGCAGGGACCCTCCCAGGGGCTGCAGCACCCTGGGGACTCTTCCAGTGACAGCGGCGTCCTAGGAGTACTCTGAGGGACATCGGCGTCTCCAGGTGCCCTTCAATGGCGGTGGCGCCCCAAGGGGCCTTGCCAGAGACGATAGCGCCATCAGGGACACTCACAGGGCCATCGGTAGCTCAGGGGCCCTCCCAGGCACGTGAGCACCCCCAGGGGTCCTGCAAGGGGCGTTCGCGGCCCCTGGGGCCTTGCCAGAGACGGTGGGGCCCTCAGAGGCCTTGCCAGGGGCGCTATCGTCACCAGGGGCTCTTCCTGGGACAGCAGCTCTCCCAGAGACCCTCTCAGGAGCGGTGGCGTCCACTGGGGCCATGTCATGGACAGCGGAGCTCCCAGGGACCCTCCCAGGGGAAGCGCCGACCCAGAAATCGTACCAAGGGTCCCCAGGAGCCCTATGGCAAGATTGTCCATAGTGTCATATATATATTACATACATCCAGCAGTCCCTTACTTAACTGTGATTGGTGGACTATTCTTTTAACCCACCAAGTGACAGCCAATAGGAGCAGAGAGCTGGCAGTCAGCAAACACCTCAACTTATGCTTTCCTGTTGGATATTATTCTCCATTACCTTCTTCAGAATGTGATGATACTAGAAATGTGATGGGCGGTGGGGTATTTATTTAACGTTGCTTCTCCCAGAGCTCTAAATAGTGCAAAACTACTGCAACCACGGCCCTCCCAGGGACATGAGCGCTTGTAGGGATCCTCCCAGGGACAGGAGTTCTCCCAGGGCCCGTGCCATGGGCGGTGGCACCCCTACAGGCTCATCCAGGGACATTGGCAGACTCAGGGGCTCTCCCAGGAACAGCAGCGCCCGCAGGGACCGTGCCAAAGGCGGTAGCGCAAGCCAGGACGCTCCCAGGGACAGGGACGCTCCCAAGGGCCCTCCCAGAGATGGCGGTGCCCCCATTGACTCTCCCAGTGACAGCAGCGCCCCAGGGACCCTCCCATGGACGACGGCGCACCCAGGGGCCCTGCAACAGGCGGTGGTGCCCCCAGGGACCTTGCCAGAGGCAGTGGCGTCCTTAAGGCCCTTGCCAGAGGCAGTGGCGGCTTCAGGGGCCTTGCCAGTGGTGCTGGCGCCCCCAGGTTCTCTCCCTGGGACAGTGGCCTTCCAAGGGGTCCTCCCAGAAACGGCAGCCCTCCCAGGGGCTCTGCCAGCGACAGCGGCGCTCACATGGGCTCTCCCAAGGACATTGGTGCTCCCAGGGCCTTGCCAGGGACGGTGGCGAACCCAGGGGCCCTCCCAGGGACAGCGACGCACCCAGGGGCCCTCTCCGGGATGGTAGCCAGGGACAGCAGAGCTCCCAGGGCTGGCGCCGACCCCAGGGACCGTACCAAGGGTCCCGGTGGGCCCTACGACATGCTTAACCGTCGTGTCATACACTGTATATTATATACCTCAAGCAGTCCCTTACTTAACTGTGATTGGTGGACTATTCTTTAACCCACCAAACTACAGCCAATAGGAGCAGAGAGCAGTCAGTCAGCACAACACCTCAACTTATGTTTTCCTGTTGATATTATTCTCCATTACCTTCTTCAGAATGTGATGATACTGGAAATGTGATGGGTGGCGGTGTGTTTATTTAACGTTGCTTCTCCCAGAGCTCTAAATAGAGCAAAAACTACTGCAAACAGGGGCCGTCCCAGAGACGGGAGCACTTGCAGGGACACTCCCAGGGAGTTTTGCACCCTGGGGACTCTTCCAGTAACAGCGGCGTCCCAGGGGCCCTCCCATGTACGACGGCACACCCAGGGGCCCTGCAACAGGCGGTGGTGCCCCCAGGGACCTTGCCAGAGGCAGTGGCGTCCTCAAGGGCCTTGCCAGAGGCAGTGGCGCCTTCAGGGGCCTTGCCAGTGGTGCTGGCGCCCATAAGTTCTCTCCCTGGGACAGTGGCCTTCCAAGGGGTCCTCCCAGAAACGGCAGCACTCCCAGGGGCTTGGCCAAGGGCAGTGGCGCGTTCCCAGGGGCTCTGCCAGCGACAGCGGCGCTCACATAGGCTCTCCCAAGGACACTGGTGCTCCCAGGATCTTGCCAGGGACGGTGGAGAACCCAGAGGCCCTCCCAGGGACAGCGTTGCACCCAGGGGCCCTCTCCGGGATGGTAGCCAGGGAGAGCAGAGCTCCCAGGGCTGGCGCCAACCCCAGGGACCGTACCAAGGGTCCCGGTGGGCCCTACGACATGCTTAACCGTCGTGTCATACACTGTATATTATATACCTCAAGCAGTCCCTTACTTAACTGTGATTGGTGGACTATTCTTTAAGCACAAAATTACAGCCAATAGGAGCAGAGAGCAGTCAGTCAGCACAACACCTCAACTTATGTTTTCCTGTTGATATTATTCTCCATTGCCTTCTCCAGAATGCGATGATACTGGAAATGTGATGGGTGGCGGTGTATTTATTTAACGTTGCTTCTCCCAGAGCTCTAAATAGAGCAAAAACTACTGCAACCAGGGGCATTCCCAGAGACGGGAGCGCTTGCAGGGACACTCCCAGGGACTTTTGCACCCTGGGGACTCTTCCAGTGACAGCGGCGTCCCAGGGGCCCTCCCATGGACGACGGCACACCCAGGGGCCCTGCAACAGGCGGTGGTGGCCCCAGGGACCTTGCCAGAGGCAGTGGAGTCCTCAAGGGCCTTGCCAGAGGCAGTGGCGCCTTCAGGGGCCTTGCCAGTGGTGCTGGCGCCCATAAGTTCTCTCCCTGGGACAGTGGCCTTCCAAGGGGTCCTCCCAGAAACGGCAGCACTCCCAGGGGCTTGGCCAAGGGCAGTGGCGCGTTCCCAGGGGCTCTGCCAGCGACAGCGGCGCTCACATAGGCTCTCCCAAGGACACTGGTGCTCCCAGGGTCTTGCCAGGGACGGTGGAGAACCCAGAGGCCCTCCCAGGGACACCGTTGCACCCAGGGGCCCTCTCCGGGATGGTAGCCAGGGAGAGCAGAGCTCCCAGGGCTGGCGCCAACCCCAGGGACCGTACCAAGGGTCCCGGTGGGCCCTACGACATGCTTAACCGTCGTGTCATACACTGTATATTATATACCTCAAGCAGTCCCTTACTTAACTGTGATTGGTGGACTATTCTTTAACCCACCAAATTACAGCCAAAAGGATCAGAGAGCAGTCAGTCAGCACAACACCTCAACTTATGTTTTCCTGTTGATATTATTCTCCATTGCCTTCTCCAGAATGCGATGATACTGGAAATGTGATGAGCGGCGGTGTATTTGGTTAACGTTGCTTCTCCCAGAGCTCTAAATAGAGCAAAAACTACTGCAACCAGGGGCCTTCCCAGAGACGGGAGCGCTTGCAGGGACCCTCCCAGGGGCTGCGGCACCCTGGGGACTCTTCCAGTGACAGCGGCGTCCTAGGAGTACTCTGAGGGACATCGGCGTCTCCAAGTGCCCTTCAATGGCGGTGGCGCCCCAAGGGGCCTTGCCAGAGACGATAGCGCCATCAGGGACACTCACAGGGCCATCGGTAGCTCAGGGGCCCTCCCAGGCACGTGAGCACCCCCAGGGGTCCTGCAAGGGGCGTTTGCGGCCCCTGGGGCCTTGCCAGAGACGGTGGGGCCCTCAGAGGCCTTGCCAGGGGCGCTATCGTCACCAGGGGCTCTTCCTGAGACAGCAGCTCTCCCAGAGACCCTCTCAGGAGCGTTGGCGTCCACTGGGGCCATGTCATGGACAGCGGAGCTCCCAGGGACCCTCCCAGGGGAAGCGCCGACCCCAGAAATCGTACCAAGGGTCCCCAGGAGCCCTATGGCAAGATTGTCCATAGTGTCATATATATATTACATACATCCAGCAGTCCCTTACTTAACTGTGATTGGTGGACTATTCTTTTAACCCACCAAGTTACAGCCAATAGGAGCAGAGAGCTGGCAGTCAGCAAACACCTCAACTTATGCTTTCCTGTTGATATTATTCTCCATTACCTTCTTCAGAATGTGATGATACTAGAAATGTGATGGGCGGTGGGGTATTTATTTAACGTTGCTTCTCCCAGAGCTCTAAATAGTGCAAAACTACTGCAACCACGGCCCTCCCAGGGACATGAGCGCTTGTAGGGATCCTCCCAAGGACAGGAGTTCTCCCAGGGCCCGTGCCATGGGCGGTGGCACCCCTACAGGCTCATCCAGGGACATTGGCCCTCTCAGGGGCTCTCCCAGGAACAGCAGCGCCCGCAGTGACCGTGCCAAAGGCGGTAGCGCAAGCCAGGACGCTCCCAGGGACAGGGACGCTCCCAAGGGCCCTCCCAGAGATGGCGGTGCCCCCATTGACACTCCCAGTGAGAGCAGCGCCCCAGGGACCTTCCCATGGACGACGGCGCACCCAGGGGCCCTGCAACAGGCGGTGGTGCCCCCAGGGACCTTGCCAGAGGCAGTGGCGTCCTTAAGGGCCTTGCCAGAGGCAGTGGCGGCTTCAGGGGCCTTGCCAGTGGTGCTGGCGCCCCCAGGTTCTCTCCCTGGGACAGTGGCCTTCCAAGGGGTCCTCCCAGAAACGGCAGCCCTCCCAGGGGCTCTGCCAGCGACAGCGGCACTCACATGGGCTCTCCCAAGGACATTGGTGCTCCCAGGGCCTTGCCAGGGACGGTGGCGAACCCAGGGGCCCTCCCAGGGACAGCGACGCACCCAGGGGCCCTCTCCGGGATGGTAGCCAGGGACAGCAGAGCTCCCAGGGCTGGCGCCGACCCCAGGGACCGTACCAAGGGTCCCGGTGGGCCCTACGACATGCTCAACCGTCGTGTCATACACTGTATATTATGTACCTCAAGCAGTCCTTACTTAACTGTGATTGGTGGACTATTCTTTAACCCACCAAATTACAGCCAATAGAGCAGAGAGCAGTCAGTCAGCACAACACCTCAACTTATGTTTTCCTGTTGATATTATTCTCCATTACCTTCTTCAGAATGTGATGATGGAAATGTGATGGGTGGCGGTGTTGTTTTTAACGTTTCTTCTCAGAGCAATAGAGCAAAAACTACTGCAACCAGGGGCATTCCCAGAGACGGGAGCGCTTGGGGACACTCCCAGGGACTTTTGCACCCTGGGGACTCTTCCAGTAACAGCGGCGTCCCAGGGCCCTCCATGTACGACAGCACACCCAGGGCCCTGCAACAGGCGGTGGTGCCCCAGGGACCTTGCCAGAGGCAGTGGCGTCCTCAAGGGCCTTGCCAGAGGCAGTGGCGCCTTCAGGGGCCTTGCCAGTGGGCTGGCGCCCATAAGTTCTCTCCCTAGGACAGTGGCCTTCCAGGGGTCCTCCCAGAAACAGCAGCACTCCTAGGGGCTTGGCCAAGGCAGTGGCGTGTTCCCAGGGGCCCTGTCAGCGACAGCGGCGCTCACATAGGCTCTCCCAAGGACACTGGTGCTCCCAGGTCTTGCCAGGGACGGTGGAGGAGGGCCCTCAGGGACAGCGTTGCACCCAGGGCCCTCTCTCGGGATGGTATACACTGTATATTATATACCTCAAGCAGTCCCTTACTTAACTGTGATTGGTGGACTATTCTTTAACCCACCAAATTACAGCCAATAGGAACAGAGAGCAGTCAGTCAGCACAACACCTCAACTTATGTTTTCCTGTTGATATTATTCTCCATTGCCTTCTCCAGAATGCGATGATACAAATGTGATGGGCGGCGGTGTGTTTGGTTAACGTTGCTTCTCCCAGAGCTCTAAATAGAGCAAAACTACTGCAACCAGGGCCTTCCCAGAGACAGGGCGCTTGCAGGGACCCCCCAGGGCTGCAGCACCCTGGGGACTCTTCCAGTGACAGCGGCGTCTATGAGTACTCTGGGGACATCGGCGTCTCCAGGTGCCCTTCAATGGCGGTGGCGCCCCAAGGGCCTTGCCAGAGACGATAGCGCCATCAGGGACACTCACAGGGCCATCGGTAGCTCAGGGGCCCTCCAGGCATGTGAGCACCCCAGGGGTCCTGCAAGGGGCGTTCGCGGCCCTGGGGCCTTGCCAGAGACAGTGGGGCCCTCAGAGGCCTTGCCAGGGCGCTATCGTCACCAGGGGCTCTTCCTGGGACAGCAGCTCTCCCAGAGACCCTCTCAGGAGCAGTTCGTCCACTGGGGCCATGTCATGGACAGCCAGACTCCCAGGGACCCTCCAGGGAAGCGCCGACCCCAGAAATCGTACCAAGGGTCAGGGGCCCTATGGCAAGATTGTCCATAGTGTCATATATATATTACATACATAGTACCTCAACCTCAACTTATGTTTTCCTGTTGATATTATTCTCCATTACCTTCTTCAGAATGTGATGATACTAGAAATGTGATGGGCGGTGGGGTATTTATTTAACGTTGCTTCTCCCAGAGCTCTAAATAGTGCAAAACTACTGCAACCACGGCCCTCCCAGGGACATGAGCGCTTGTAGGGATCCTCCCAAGGACAGGAGTTCTCCCAAGGCCCGTGCCATGGGCGGTGGCACCCCTACAGGCTCATCCAGGGACATTGGCCCTCTCAGGGGCTCTCCCAGGAACAGCAGCGCCCGCAGTGACCGTGCCAAAGGCGGTAGCGCAAGCCAGGACGCTCCCAGGGACAGGGACGCTCCCAAGGGCCCTCCCAGAGATGGCGGTGCCCCCATTGACTCTCCCAGTGACAGCAGCGCCCCAGGGACCTTCCCATGGACGACGGCGCACCCAGGGGCCCTGCAACAGGCGGTGGTGCCCCCAGGGACCTTGCCAGAGGCAGTGGCGTCCTTAAGGGCCTTGCCAGAGGCAGTGGCGGCTTCAGGGGCCTTGCCAGTGGTGCTGGCGCCCCCACGTTCTCTCCCTGGGACAGTGGCCTTCCAAGGGGTCCTCCCAGAAACGGCAGCCCTCCCAGGGGCTCTGCCAGCGACAGCGGCGCTCACATGGGCTCTCCCAAGGACATTGGTGCTCTCAGGGCCTTGCCAGGGACGGTGGCGAACCCAGGGGCCCTCCCAGGGACAGCGACGCACCCAGGGGCCCTCTCCGGGATGGTAGCCAGGGACAGCAGAGCTCCCAGGGCTGGCGCCGACCCCAGGGACCGTACCAAGGGTCCCGGTGGGCCCTACGACATGCTTAACCGTCGTGTCATACACTGTATATTATTTACCTCAAGCAGTCCCTTACTTAACTGTGATTGGTGGACTATTCTTTAACCCACCAAATTACAGCCAATAGGAGCAGAGAGCAGTCAGTCAGCACAACACCTCAACTTAT